ACATTAAGGCAGTTTCCATGTCAAGAAAACCCTGGTAAGTCAGTGTGCTTACCTCAGGCATTTTCTTAGAATCATGGTAAGACCCTGGAGCAATGCAGGCTGCTGCAGTTTATGACCTTGTAGAAACAGAAAACTCTCCAAACCTGATTCCTCTTGTGCTTTCGTTACAGTCAGCATAAGTGCGTCTGTAGCTCTTTCTATATTAATAAGAAGAGACACCAAAGAAGAAAGGTTGGGTTTCCAAACAGATTTTTTCAGAGCTACTACAGGCAGCTTTCTATAGCATTTACTATGTTCTAGTAAGTATTTAACAGACTAAAGTTTATCTTAAAAAAATCAAATAATCCGTAGAACAAAGCCTCAGACCTAACCAACCTGTTGTTTGTCCTGACAGTATGAACAGGAACATTTGCATCTGAGCTGCATTGCACATGAGGTTTATGCAAAATTAGACTTGCATGTGATAGTTTTTGTTCTCTGCCATTGCGGCATATGGACTTGTACAAGCAGTAGCCTTGTCTAGCAAGTGTTTGGTGCAGACTTGTCACTTCTTCTTTTAGTGTTTCCTGAATTGCTAACAGCTTCGTGTTACAGGCTTTTTTCCCCTAGAATTCTTACCTTTTGTCTAAACCAGTTTTCTGACTTCTTTTGAACTAAAGAATATGCACAGATTTCTGTTCTGTCAACTTGAGTTTGTCCATCCCAGAGATACATTTTTCTTGAAGAATGATAAAAGAAAAATACTGGATTATGTTGCTGGTGGCAGATACTTATCTCTCCAGCAGTATTGGGCACAATGATAAAGTAATGAAAGCATCTTTTTATTTTTAAAGTGAATGGAATGAGTCCACTGATGCCCAGTGTCAGTGAGGCTGATGAATATTTGCTTGTCATTCTGAAAAACGAGGGGCATAGCCTAAAATCACCCCCATGCCTTTGTTCTACAGAGGAGTGAATGCACTGTTAGCTGTTAAATGTGTTTTAATTCAAACGTGTTTGCTGCTGGGACAGAAAAATACAGGAGGTTGATTTTTGCATTGCTGAGAGCCACGGATCCTATTTAATACATTTCAAGATGATATTCAAGACAGAAACGGGTCCTTACAAGCTACTAGCTGTGCTCATAGGATGTAAGAATGCATTTCCTATTGGTTTTTCCCTCCTCTCCCTTACTGTCACGAGGACAGAGCGTAGATAGCGTACACAAGCCATCAGACTGTTGGGCTGAATGCTGTGCAAAGGTAGTGCCCTTATAAAGTATGGCTACCATATACGAGCTATCCAAAGCTTTTTTCAAAGCAGTTTCCTACCTCGGTTTCCCACCAAGATCTTTATTGCAGATCTTTATTCTCTCCCATGCCTTAAGCAGAAAGATAATCTGGTCTGCCTTCTCAGCACAGTACTGAGAACAGGAATCGCAGTTAATCTTAATCTGCGCTCTGATATCATCTCACTTGAATTTTTTTTTTTGTCCACTTCTAAAAGGTCAGATGTTTTTGCTGATGTTAAATGTGTTATGAGGTCAAACAAATAAATGTTCATGAAATGCTTTTGCAGAAAGCTGCATGCAGCAGATAAATTTGTATGTTCATTTCTCTGTTAGATTAGCACAGTTGTAGTATTTCCTGTTTTGCCCGTTGTTCTAGACCATTGATGCTTAGGAGGCCTGGACAGAGGGGTCAGCAAACAACAAATTAAGGGGTTGTTCTCCTGTTATTCTGGCTGGGTATCATTTATGTCTCCATTTGTCTTTGAGGATGCCTGTGAACTGCTTGCTCCTGCTGTTGTGCTGCAGCACTAGGCAGCTGATCAGAAAAGAAATGTTTGGCATGGCAGTACGGGAGGGAAGTCGTAAAACTGATGGTTGGTATATTTACCTGTCTGTGCTGAAGAACAAGAGAGGGGGTTTCACCATTTCATTACAAATCGATGCAATCTAAGGTTTAGACACAGTCTGTTTTCTCATTCAGAAGTCAGGTAAAGTGATTGCCAGTCCTTGCGCTTCTCTCTAGATGGTCTGTCCAATGTAATCTGTTTCCTTCAGACAGGGCTTGGTGTGTTGCCTTGGACTCCAATTGCATTTGGCCCCAGAAAGAGCACGCTTAGTCTCCTGCTTCTGAGCGCTTGGAGGGCAAGGCACATGGCTCACAAATTCCAGGTTCTGAGATCTGTTACGCCTGGGATATAGCGTATCAGCTGCTGAATCAGGGGCTTGGAGTTTGAGGATGGTTCTATGGTCTTGTGGCTGCAAAGGCTGGCACTTGGTTAGTTCAGGAAGGCTGGGATGTCTTGCTTTCAGCAGAAAATAAGGAAGGATTTTGCTTTGTTTTGCATCTTGTTTCGGCCCTGTTGTGAACTTAGGGTTCAGTCCTTGACGTGCTTCTTGCCTTGGAGGGGAAAACAATCTGTCTAATGCAAAACTAACTCAGTTTTTAAGAAATTCTAGTGCACATGGAGAACTGGGGCAAGAGACAGGTGAAGACTGCCTCATTTCTCTTACTTCTCTGATTAGTGTAAGAGACAGATCTTGCTGACATACAGAGATGCAGCTCTGCACCAGAGTGCACAGGCAGTCTGCTTAGCTACAGGTTGGCCAGATAAATTCCTGGCAAGGCCCTTTTTAGCTGAACAAGGTTTAGTTCTTAACAAGCTGGGAAGTGAGCCCTTCTGTGTCGGGATGGGTCTTCCAAAGCTCTCACTGTAACTTTAATAGGAAAAGATTAATCTGATTAGTTAGTGTTTGCAAAGAGCTTTAAGGATGAAAAGTGCTATGTAAGTGCTGACTGTTATGATCGTGATAGATATGCTTTATCAGCAGTTTGCCGGATGAGTAAGACTCTCTTTTCCCATTTGACTGTAGGGGAGCTGTCTTCTGGAGAGCAGAAGAAAAATATTTCGGAAAAAGGAAAAAATGGGTATCCTGTTGTCTTATAGTGTCTGCCTCCTGTTGAACACTGTGCATGGTCATAATATAACGAACCTTTGACTGCACCAAATGATGCCCATGTGAGCCTGTGACAACCCTTCAGTATAGTGCTTGTAGGAACCGTTTACTGGAAAGCTTGCAGATAGTGTGCCTGGCTTTCTGGGGTTGTCCAGCTGGCAGTAGGTTCAGTGGGTAATGCTTTCGGAAACGCTAAAGCAACTTGGATACCTTGAATCTCTTTTTTCAACGATGAAGATTTAGGAGCAGAGGTGTTGAAGACAGGGGTTTCCATAAATGTCACTTGGGTACCTAAATGATGAGGTCTTTTGCAGATCTCACTGTGTGGTGGTGATCACCCATGAGGCTTCCCAGCAAGCAGCAGTAATAGATTCAGAGTCTGATATTTTTTTTTTGTTGTGTGACTTGGACAGTTTTGTCACAGTGGGATACTCCTGAGTGATGCCAACACTGGGCAAAAGAGATCCTCTAAATGGGATGCTTATGAGTTCTGCCTCCTACAGTTTTCTTGGGTCCTGCCTTCAGTTCCCCAATTGACTTTCTGATTTCCATCCTGCTGTTTCGAGGGTTTCCCCTTTAGCGAGCCAGAGAGTTGTATTTGCTTAGAACAGCCCATTCTCTACAGCACATCTTGAGCCGGGCGTGTGGCTGGTGCTCTGGGCAGCAGCAGAGGCAGCTTGACATGCCAACTCCGGGGAGCTATTTCAGCAGTGTAGCTGCATAGTGGCCTGGGCTGCCTTTATTCTAACCTGGAAGATTGTCGTCTGTGCTTCAGGCAAGTTACTCACACCGGCTTAGAGACCAGCTCTTAAGCTCTTGTACTTCTCTGTGTTGTCCACTTCAGAAATTTCCATTGCAGGTCAAGTGTGGAGTTTTTATTTCTTGTTTTGTTTGTTTGGGGTTTTTTTGGGGGAGCAGGGGGTATAAGGGGATGGGGTGATATTGTTCCAGTATTTGATACACAAAAGTGCAGACTCAGAAACTGAAGAAAATCACATGTTTTATGGAAAGGAAAATCCTCACGGGAGGAGCAGCCAGAGTTCATGATTAATTTCTAGAGCGTGCCTGCACGCCATGTATCAGGGAGGGAGGGGAGCCGCTTCCTTTATCCTTTATGCTCTTCCATCCTCAGAAGAAACATTTGTAACTGGTAAGCCTTAGATGCGAGATCTGAAGAACTGATTTCTGCCAACAAAGAAAGACCCAGACTTGAGCTGCCTTGCAGGTTCTGTCAGGTGACATCGGATAGTAAAAAGGTGTTTCCATCCTGAATAGGATTTTTAACTGTGTTGCTATCAAAAATAGTCTTTGGAGGCTGTTCCTTGCTTTGACTGCTGTCAGATGTTCAGAGTTAAGAAAAAATAGACTACAGTGCAGTTTATAGAGTAGCTTCTACCTTCAGAGCTTGCATGGAATTATAAAGGAGAGCGTGATGAAGTAATCCTCCATTTCCTATGTGGAAACTAGGGCAGAATGGAGAGAAGAACTGGTTTGGTGACTCGTGCATTTTCCTGGTGGATGAGGAAACCCACATCCAGCTCCCAGCTTTCCTGCAGGCTTCCCGGGTGTCACATCAGCGAATCACACAGGACAGGAGCTGGTGGGGCTGACTCTGGGTCCTGACTTTCTCTCTAGCTAACAGGGCCCAGCTTCTCTAAGGGGTGATGCAGAGTTGGACCTTGACATGTGCAGTTCCCCAGAGGTGTTTTGGAGACTAGGCTTGATGAAAATCGTCATCTTAGCATCTTTGCACCGCTGTAGTCATTTCCAAATCCATTAAGCGTTGGAAGACTGAAAAGAGATTGTCAGCGTTGGAAAGATAGGAAGATGGTAGATAACAGAAGCAGGAAGATGTGAGGGCAGTCAGCAAGTCAGTGGCTGAGCTGTGAATAAAAATCTGTCCTCCTTGATCTTATCCACAGACATCAGACCTGGCTCCTGGCTCCTCTGACTCTCCCCTGCTCTCTCAGTCAAACCCTAGACCATGCTGTTGGGTAGGAGGCCATTGTTGTCTTTGTGAGCTGAGTGTTCTGTCTCTGTTCTTCTTTAAACACAGGTTTGTGTGAAGTCCCCCGTTCCCTCTGCCCGAATCTCTTCCTCTGAAGCGGTCACCAGCGTGTGGAGCCTGCCCCACACCCATCACCTGCCAAACCACGGCCTTTACCTGTGTCTTCCGGTGTTTCCCGTGCGACCCGTCCTGCGGGAGTGCCTCCTGGGCCACCCCAGAGTTCACGCAGCGCTCAGTGGCTCCAATGGTGAAGATGACAAGGTCCAAGACTTTCCAGGCATATCTGCCTTCGTGCCACAGGACCTACAGCTGCATTCACTGCAGGGCTCATCTCGCCAACCACGATGAGCTCATTTCCAAGGTACGTGCATGACCTCACCTGCAGGTGCTGGGTGGATGCCTCCTCCCTGGGGAGCGGAAGGGTGCGTTCGCTCGCACTGCAGGTCAGTTGCTGTGGAAGTGCCTGGCCTTAACTGGTGCCGCAGTTTTTGCTTGGAAAATGGGCTCTCAGCCTAAAGGATCTATTTGTGAGCTGCTGTTTTTGTTTCAAATGATCTTGAAAATAGCTGTAGGGGACAGGTTTCCAAATTTGGGCCTCTGGAGTGCTTACAGGTGGTCTGTCGCTTCCCATGGTACCACCACCTCCTTCTCATTTCCAGCTGTAAAACTGCACGGATGGCCAGGACTGCTTAAATTACCTTCCTGATACTTCTTGTTCATGTACGTGCTTGTCAGCAAAGCCAAAGGCTTATTGCATGATCGTGATTTGGAGGTGAAGTGTCTGGAGATGTTCTCCCTGTTAAACTCTGAGCTGTACCAAGCGTCTACACTAAAGCCCCTACTTAAGAGAAGGTTCTCTGATGCTTCTACCGAAGACAAGACAGCTTTCCCAAGACTGATGAGTTGCTCAAACCCTCGTATCTTTGCCAGTCTGCTAATAAGATGCTTTGCAGTGAAAAAAAAAAAAACAAGGCTAGGATGTGCTGAGGGTGGAAAGATTCCATCCTGTCTTCTGATCTATTGATCACAGGGGGAAGGGTCTTGACGATAAGCTAAATGGAAAGCTTTCAGAGCCATAAGTCAGGGGCCTTTGGTGCAGAGGGAGCAGGCCAGGAAGAGGATCGTTCTGAAGTGCAAAAAACCAAACTTTCTCAGAGTGTCTGTTGGAGCCTACAGTGCCTGGCTGCGGTCAGGCATCAAGTTTCCAGGTTTTGGCTGCCTTGGCAATCAACTGTTCTGTAAAGTTTATCGAGCTTATAAAATTTGTGTTCAGACAAAACAGACACACCGTAAGATTTATTAGTTGAGATGAGAGGAAATTGCGCTGTGAGCAATGTGTGTGCATGCAACTTAAGCCAGTTCAGCTTCTTGGAGCAACCTTCAGAGAAAGGCCAGGATCAGAAGGGACAGAGGTGCTCTGCCCGTTAGAAAGTGTGTAGTGCTTCCCCTCTTCCTGTTTGCACAGAAAAGATAGAAAGTGTCACCTTGCACCAAGGGCATCTGTCCTTACAGGGCTGACATCTTAGCAGCTGTGGAGGTCCTTTTGGATTCTCGGTGTTGGGTGCTCGGACCTGTCTTCTGCCATTGGATGCTGTCTCCTTCCTTTTTCTTTTGGTTGTTGCATGGGCTAGGTTGATGTGTATCTCTGTGGTGTCTCCGTGCCAAACAATTGAATTTACGTATTCTGGTATGAATAAAGCTGATTGCAGACTGCTACAATTTTGTTTTTTGCAGTTTCTGAATAGACAGGCTTCCTGTTAGGCTATCGCCTCCGAGTCATTCTGGGCCTCTTGAGGGCTCCGTTTGTCCTAGTACAATTGCAGTGGTTCTTAGCAGACCTGTCCTCAAGGACTGCAAAGCCTCAAGCTTTTGAAAAGAAGATTGTACATTTCCTCAATAGAAAGAAGTTTTGAAATGTAAGTGTCAACAGCAGTCTGTGCCCAGGTCTGGATGTGAAATACGTTCAACCTCAGCTATGTGACTTCAGGCTCCTGTGCTCGGTTGAGATACCTGTAAAATGGGGTAGGTGTTCCCCTGCCTGTCCATTGTTACCAGCTGGATTTTGTGTTAGGACACAGAAGATACTTTACAGGATAAAGAAGGGGGCTTGTTTTACTTACTGTTTTTATGGTAGATCAGAGTTTATGCTCTGCTTTTTTTTGACTTAGCTGGTCCCCAGCCAGGGAAAACACAAGGCAATGCATGCCCAGTGGTTTCACTTTTGACACTTCCTTCCCCTCCTTGTTCTGTGTCCGTGCTCCTTCTGGTCTGCTGTGCAGTGCAGCCAGCTTTGCAGGTAAGTGGCTTCCAGCAGGGCAATGCCAGTGCTACAGACTGCTTGGAATTTGAGCTTCTAGCCTTTGAGGCACGCAGAAGCTGCCCAGGAATGCTGACTGTTGAAATATGGACACGAGAGGGAAGGTATGAAAGCACAATATGAAGCTATGTGTATTGAATCACAGAAGTATTAACTACAGTGTGCTGCGAAGCTTGTGTCTGCTCGTTCTAAAACTTCCTTGTAGACTGTGGTGCAAATTTGTAATAGTGTTAGGACCGTGTTGCTGGTGGAGCACTAGCGGGTCGTGCAACTTGAATGTAAAGGGTTTGGGGTTTTAGGTTTTTATTTCTCAGAGTTGTAAACCTTAATAAGATACATTCTTTGTATAATTGAAAACCTTATGAAAGTAATTGTGCAATCATAATTTGTACAACTGGCTATTAAACTGAGAACAGAAGGGCAGTCCCTGCCTCGGGGGGGTTCCAATATGTGTAGAAACTTTCCCAGGCAAACTTAAATAGTCATCTTTTTATCTGTTTGAGTTACGTTTTAAACATCTCCCGGAGGCCTTCTGCAGTTCTTTCATCACAGCCTCATATTAGCATCTGAGAACCAGGCGGTGCAATTGCTGTGCTTGTTTTCCATATGAAAATGTGGCAAACGGAAGGAAGAAACAGGCGCCGTGAGGATTGAAAAGGGAGTGGGAGATTTTGTCAAACCGGAGTGTTTCTCAGCCTGCAGTGTATCTCATCTCGAACCTGACTCTGTCGCTTTAATCAAAACAGCCCAAGTGACACCATCTTTGGAAACGTTCCCCAGAAAACAGGCTTTTATGTAACAGCAGGGTGTTGGTGTTTTGGCTTGTTGAAATTAATTCCTCTATTCCTTTTGCCCCAAGTTGTGCGGAGACCACATGAGAGCTGTGCTGCTTTGCATGCCGTGAGCTTTTAGCCCCTTTGGATATATACAAATTGCAGTATTGGCTCATGCCATTGGCTGAAATGCTAGCTGGAGCTGAATCCCAGTATTGTTCTCTATCAGTCCATACTTTATTTTCTCTTCATCTCCAAGTTTCCCCTCTTAGACCTTCAGCATCAGTGTTAACTTTACTCTGACTTCAGAGTGTTTTGCCAGGGCCAGGTGTCTGAAACTCTTTGACAAATATGCCTTGGCAGGGCAGTTTTTGCTTGCTTTTCTGCTTAAGGAAAACCTTGTGCATTAAAATGGGTAGAAGGTTTCTCAATAAGCCATTGCTATTTAAAGAAAATAATCGATGCTGAGGCTTTTAAGAAAATCCAAAGCTGTTACATGAAGCCAGTTACCAAAATGTTGCCTGCTTACTTGGCCTTTTATCTTCTGCAGCCGGAGGGAGAGAGTGGTTGAGTATGTCTGATTTGTAAGATCTAAATTGTGGGTTGGATTGTCTGGCCAAGAAAGGCCTTATTGACTTAGGAAATATAAGGTGATCAGATAGATTGGGTGGAGTGAGTAACTACTTTTCCTTTATACGTTCCTTTGGTGTCTGAGTTAGCATGAGTGGAGGTTCTTGTTCCTTTGTAGCAATGCATCATTTAAAAATCTGTGCCAAATTTAGCACATACTCTTGTTTCATTGCTTTTTCCAATGCCTAAGTGGACTGAGACTTTGGGAACTCAGCCTTGCCCTGGAACAGATTCCTGTGTGACCTTGAGTAAGTCACTTAATGTCTTTGTTCCTCCTTTCCCCACCTGTACAATTGAAATGCTGCTGTTTTGTCCAGTCTGCTGGGAAGATAAAGCTCTGGAGCAGGTACTGTCTGCTCTTAGGAGTTAGTACAGTGTGTCCTAATCCTCTTTGGCTTTACTGTAAAAGCAAAAATACCATGCCAGGCAACTGTACTTAAAAAGCATATTTCAATGCCTTCCAATTGCCAAAACATAAGTGAAAGATACTTGATGTGACATTTATCCTTCCCAGGCACAACACCCTATGCTTTTTAGAATGTTTAAGAAAAACATGTATTTGATAACCAATGGTGGCAAAACCTCTCCAGGAAGGGGATAGAGTGGCTTTTCTTGAGAGGCGTGCCTTCCGCATCATTTTCTAGTGGGGCTGGGGGAACAGCTAACAGAAGAGACATTTGACAGCGTAAATAGCATTTTTTTTTTTCTCAAAGTGGCGGATGTGATGCTGGTTTCTACCTAATCCATGCTATTCAAACTCTTTGTGAGCCTTTTCTGTTCTATTTCGTATGTACCTGGTATCCAGTAAAAAAGGATGGGAACGAGACCAGAAAGATACAGGCCAAACACAGCCGCGTTAGTGTCTTGGTAGCTGACTTTTTTTTTTTTTTTTTTTTTTTTTGGAACAATAAATGCTATGGGAACAGTAATTCAGCAGAAATGTCCCTGATTATGGAAATATGTAGGGAATGTCTTGTGGGCGTCCTGCAGTTTCTTTTTTTCATGAATTACTGTGATCCAACTGCTAAACATTGTGCAGTGATGTATCTTCTGAAGTTAGCCTAAGGCTAGCCAGGGAAGTTTAATGGTTTCCTTTGATGTCTGCATGGGACCCTTACTGAACATGAATGTGAAATTCTTCAACACAAAAGGCTGCAGCTCCTCCAGCACTGAGAAGTTAGAAAAAATAGAGAATTTGTGTGCTCCTGACTTTCTCAGTTGGGGTTGGATTGTTAGTCAGGGAACACTTAGAAGCCCTCTTTTCTGTCTTCTCAGGCAGGAGTTGCAATGTTTATAAGCAAACCTTGCTCCCAGTCATTGTGGCCTAGCTGCTTCCCTGGCTAGCAGACTGCTGGAGCCTGAGGTTGTTGCTACAACAGCCTCTTGGTGAGCTTTATGGCATGCTGAAAGCATCAAACTTTGCTCCGTGTTGCAACTGGGGGTTCTTAAAAGGATTTGAAACTTTGGTGCTGGCTTTGAGATATATGTTGTGGATGAATTCAGACACTTTGAAGCATTTGATGCACCATGTATAGGTGAAGGAAGCAGCAATTGTTGGGCTTCTTGGTTTGGGTGATTTTTTTTTTTTGGTCTTTTTTCTTTCTAAGTATGTGGGTGAGGCAGTGTGTAAAGTTCTTAGTG